TGGACAGAGCGTGTCTAGAGGTTAAGGAGAGATTTCATTCTGACTGGTGGTCAGAACCCTGGTGAAGGGCGGCTGGGGTGTAACGGGCATTCCAGGTTGGTGAACTAGTGGGGAAAGGTGAAAAGTCAGTGAAACGGAGTGTGTGAGAGAGTGGTGTGGGGATGGCAGGGACGGGGGAGAGGGAAATGGGCTGAGCATGGCGGCCTCTGACGTCATTTTATGGGATTGTGACTTTATTCTGTAGGCAATGGGAGGACCCCGGAGGCGGGGCTCCATCAGACACCTGGAGGTGGCCTGAAGGATGAGCTGGAGGAGGTTGAAAGAGAATGAAGACGTCGGAAATTTGCGGCGATCCCAGCTGGAGCTGATGAGGGCCTTAACTGTGGTAGGGGCAGTGGGAGGGGAAAGGAGACATCTTGGAGGATGTGGTGTTTTCAGCACTGAAGGAGGGGCTAGAAGGATGCTGATGGAGATTATTGAGACTGGAAGCCAAATGAGAAGCAATCTGGGGACTATGAAAGGAGTTTGGAGTAGGATGTGCGAGTTGAAGGTACCTGTGGGACATCCATGTGGAAATGACTTCCAGGCAGCTGGGAATGCAGCTGTGGCCCTTGGGAGCATGAAGCCTGGAGGTGAGGATTAGAGTCTTTTGCATGGCCATGCCAACTGAAGCCCTGGGAAGGATGAGTTCATCCCGGGCGAGTGTTTATGGTCAGCAGTGGGCCAAGGGCACGCGTTACACAAGACAAGGGACCACGGCAGGCTTTCTCGCGGGGACGGCCGACCCTATGTGGAGCCTGTGGTGAAACACACAACAGACAGCTCCGAGGTTTCAGCCTCAGCCGTCCCTGCAGTCGTGTTAAGGTGACCTTGTCGCCACTCAAGTGCCGTCCTCAGAAGCCTCAGGGCTCCACAGGAGATTAGAGCTGCTCCGTCTGGGCAACCTCAGTGCCACAGAGGGAGTAGGATTTCCCACACACTCTGGAGTCTTGGAGGGTCAAAACAGCCAGTGACCCAAGTTCTAGACCCAGTTCTACAAATTGTATTTGTTGGAAGTTTCATGTCTAAAAAATAGCCAGGTTAGGCATGTGTTGAACAAAAATTCTTCATTTGTTACACCAAAATAAATTTCAGACAGAGATTTAAACATAAAAAAAAGAGACTATAAAAGTACTTGAATAAAACCTGAATAATTCATATATATCTCTACATATCCTGGACTAGGGGAGTCCTCTTTACATAAGACACAAAATCCAGGAGCCATAGAAGAAAAATACTGTAAATAAAAACAGAAATACCGTCAACATAGATGACAAGGGACTAATTTCCTCACTATGTAAAGAGCTCTTACAAAACAATCAGAAAATTACTATCAACC